TACGGGTCGTGTCCACAGCACACAAACTGATCCTGCTGTAACAACAAGTGCACCTTACTGATGCAATATGGTTGAGACCATTCGGGCTTATGCTATAAGAGGGGTGCAAGGAATAGTCTAAGTAGTGGGGGAGTTTTATACACTAAAGGTGTGGAAATTCTCTGGCGTTATAATATCAGCGCGGCCGCGGTCAGATCAAAATGCCTCCGAATGCAATTTGAATAGACCTACAGCCAATCAGAGCAACGAAACGTTGGATCTGCGTCATGCCTTATTGATTGAGATCAATTGAAACCGCCATTCAGTATCCCCATTGGATCTTCAACGTGTACTATCATACGTCACGTTCACAGTGATCCCTTTTTATTTACTACAAGACAAATGTGCCGTTTTCTTTCATACAGTTCCATTTTGATTGAGACAGGGAAATAATCTAAACCTCACGCGTGGCGTTTCACTGTCAAGGGGGGTAATATAGCGTGTATGTAATTACATTGCAAATACTGACTTGAGCACCACCACTGTATGGGTTAGCCCTACCATTGATTACCCAACAAAAATGCTCTGGCGCCGCCACTGTGTATAAGGCATGATAGAGATAATAATCAAAATGGTGGAGGGTGTGCCACGTTTCTCAAAGATGGTGTGGCATATAGGTGCAATCTCCTGATGATATAGAGCAGTGGTTCTCAACTGGTGGGTCGCGACCCAAAAGTGGGTCGCGGACCCGTTTCGAGTGGGTCGCGGATGTGTGAGTGAAGAAAAAAAAGTTGAAAAAAAAAATTTGAATCTTTTTTTTTTTTTTTGGGGGGGAAAAACTCAAACTTTTATTTTGAAGGCCCGATTTTCTTCTCAGAGTGTACAAGAATGCGTAGTTTATGTTAGTATTTCTAAAAATCTCCTGGGGGAGAATCCCCCAGACCCCCCTGCTGGGGTTGGGTTTCAGCATGTGTGCCTTTTTATATAGTTCAGCTTTGATTCCATCATCTCATTAAACCTTTTTTAAAAGCATACTTTAGTTCTGTGAAGGGATATAAGGGATATATGCACTGTACTTCACTTTTATTAATATTGTATGCTCAAAAGCGTATATATTACAGCACGATATTTTGTTGAATAGATTTGAGTGCTTCAAAATGTTGGGTCGCGATGTATTGACCAAGTAAAAAGTGGGTCCCGAGGCCTGACCAGTTGAGAACCACTGATATAGAGTGTATTATAGTGGAAATCTGCAACCCTAGGAAACAAGATAACATTAGGATAATCAATTTATACAACCCATGTAAAAATCTAACCACTGATATATTTAAAGAAATAGCAGGCAATAAACATAGGAAGGAAGTTTGGTGTGGTGATTTCAATGCACACAACAGTCTATGGGGCAGCAACCATACAGACAGTAACGGAAATATAGTGGAAGAATTGCTGGAGGAAAGAACACTAGTATGCCTTAATGATGGACATGGCACAAGAGTAGATGTACACAGGGGGAAAGTTTCATGCCTGGATCTGACATTAGTGTCAAACTGTTTGGTTCATACATGCGAATGGTTTGTTTTGAATAAATCCACAGTAGGAAGTGACCATTATCCAGTGCTTACTAAAATGAATACTAATGTATATATACAGGAAGGAGGTGCAATAACCAGGTGGTGCTTTGCTAAAGCTGATTGGGGGAAATTTAGGATATGGTGTGAGGAGTCGGTACACCTGCTAACATCAGAGGGAAGCATAGAGGTCATTACAAGCCAAATAACGCAACATATTCTAAATGCAGCAGAGAACAGTATACCCAAAACAACAACCAAGGGTAGGAAGAAAGTGGTGCCATGGTGGAATGAGGAATGCAGCAGGGCTATTAAAGAGCGAAATAATGCATTTAGAGAATTAAAGAAAAACATGACACAAAATAATGTTATAGAGTTTCAAAGGAAAAGGGCAGCTGCTCGAAGGACAATCAAATACACAAAAAAAAGAACATGGAGAGAATTTTGTTCTACCATTGGCAGAGGAGTAAAATTAGGTGATGTCTGGTCCATGTTTAAGCGGATGAGTGGGAAAAGGAAATCCATTAAAATTCCAGCTTTGGTTGATGGGGAGAGGCTGGCAGTGACAGATAAAGAGAAGGCAGACATGTTAGGAAGGACACTTGCAGCAGTACATAGCGGGGAGCATCTCAGTGATATTCATAGGCAGCAAAAACAGCAGTTACTAGCAGAGAATGAAAACGTGAAGGAGAAGAGACAGGATAATACTGTAGGTCAGCTCTTGATGTGGAATTTACAATGTCAGAACTCAAAATAGCCTTACAAGGTACAGGATATACAGCCCCAGGACAAGACCAGCTATGTTATGCTATGTTTAGACAGTTGCCTATGGAAACTATGACAATGGTGCTGAGTCTTTTCAATAAAATCTGGAGAGAAGGAGATATGCCAAGTTTGTGGAAAACAGCAGTCGTGCTACCATTCAATAAGCCAGGGAAAGATACAGCTAACCCTAGTAACTACAGACCAATAGCTCTTACATCACACCTATGTAAATGGATGGAAAAGATCATTGTCCGTAGGCTCTCACATGTACTGGAGCAGAAAGGGCTGCTGAGTAGTTTTCAGAGCGGATTTCGTAAAGGGCGGTCCACAATAGATGCTTTAGTAAGAGTGAGTAATGATGTGGAAAAAACATTGAAAATGAAAGAGATAATGTCAATAGTGTACTTTGACATTGAAAAGGCGTATGACTGTATGTGGAGGGATGGGTTACTGATCAAATTGAGTAGAATGGGTATTGGAGGGAGAATGTACAATTGGGTAAGGGCCTTTTTAACAGACAGGACATTTAGAATAAAGGTTGGAGCAGATATTTCCAACTATTTTGAAATAGAAAATGGTATTCCCCAAGGGAGTGCAGTCAGTCCACTATTGTTTAACATCATGATTAATGATATATTTACATGTTTAGACACATGCATTCAATCGGCTCTATACGCAGATGATGGGGCTATTTGGATGAGGGGAAGAAATGCCCCATACGTAATGGAGAATATAGCTAGAGCGATTAAAAAAGTGGAGAGGTGGTCATATAACTGGGGATTCAAAATGTCAGAAAGCAAGTCATGCTACATGATATTCACAAACAAACGCAAGATTGATGGCCAACAGCTAACACTATATGATCGTCCAATGACAAAGGTGAATGAGTTCAAATACCTACTGTGGTTTGATAGCAAATATACATGGAAAATGCATATTAAACAAGTGGAAACAAAATGCTAAAAAGTATTACATTTATTGCGAGCTGTAGCTGGATGCAACTGGGGCGCAGACAAACAAGCATTAATAGATATTTACAGATCAATTATGAGGTCCACAATAGATTATGGTTGTATAGTGTATGGAGCAGCAGCAAAAACATCGCTTTTAAAAATTGATAGAATACAATATAAAGCATTGCGGTTGTGTATTGGAGCGATAAAGTCATCCCCTATCAATGCAGTTCTGATAGAAGCAGGAGAGACACCTCTGGAGATCAGAAGAGAGAAACTTGCTCTGTCATACTGGGTCAGGCTACAAGGAAGTGGAGAAGAAAATATTTCAAACAGAATATTACAGGATTGCTGGGAATATGCAAAATTCCAGGGACGTGGGTTTGGCTGGTCAAATAAGGAGAGAACGAGGGCATATGGAGTGGACAATATCACGTTTGCCAAAGCAACCCCATTTAGCAGTGTTCCCCCATGGCTTTTCCCAGAAGCTAAAATAGATATGAGTATTGTAGAAAGGAAAAAAGAGTGGCAAGTAAATGAAGTGGGAATTAAAACAAGTATGTATCTGAATGAAAAGTATTACAATTGCCTACAAATGTACACAGATGGTTCTAAGAACAAGGAAGAGTGTGTTGGAATTGGTATATACATCCCAGAATTTAAAATATCTATTTCAAAAAGAGCGTCTGATCAATTATCAGTGTACACAGCAGAAATGCTGGCAGTAATAATAGGATTACAGTGGGTTGAAGAGGTCAGACCAGATAGGGTGGTGATGTGCACAGATTCATTGTCCATATTACAAAGCATACAATCAACAACAACTGCCAGAGAAGACATTCTCATAGAACTGAATCATAGCCTGTTAAGACTGCACAGAGGCGGCATAGATCTGCAGTTCTGCTGGGTGCCTGCACATGAGGGGGTGAAAGGGAACGAGTGTGCTGATAAATTAGCAAAAAGTGCACTACAAAAGGAAATCACATTACCAGTTCAACTTGGAAAAGGAGAAGGAAAAGCAGTAATTAAGAAGAAAGGGATGGAGATCTGGCAGAAAAGGTGGGAGAAAGACCAGAAAGGCAAAGAATATCACAAAGTACAAAAGACAATTACAATTCATATTTATAAAGAAAGAAACAGAAGGGAGGAAATCACGATCGCTAGACTCAGAATAAATCACACAGCATTGAATGGTACGCTGTATGTCATGGGGAAAAGTGACAGTGACAAGTGTGGGAGCTGTGGAGTAAAAGAAGATGTAGAACATATCTTGATACATTGTGACATATATAAAGCGGAAAGAGAAAAACTAAAGGCTAAAGTTTTAGAGGCAGAGAGGGAATGGAGTGTGGTTGGTATTTTGGGAACAAAAGGAGAGGGAGTAAGAGCTACCAGAAAGGCACTGTTTACATTCTTGAGTGAAACTGGGGTAGGAAAAAGAATTTAACATTAGGTCAAGAAAGAACATAGATTTTTATTTTTGTTTTATTTATTTCATGTTTTGTTTTTTGTTGATTTATTTATTTATTTTGATTAGATCATAGGTTAAAGAGTTGGTATGATATGATGATTCATACTCATGTACAGTAGGTGGCGGTATGCACCTTTTAAGTTGTTTGCAATCCGCCAAAAAACGAAGAGAAGAAGAAGAAGAATGTCTCTCAGCCACCGTAGTGTCGTGTCAGGTGGGCGTGTCGTGTAGTGTCGTGTACTGGCCGCGGCCGGCGGCCGCAGCTAGACCATATTGTAACAGACAGCTATTGTTGCGTCAGCTTCACACGTAAAACACATGACGAATAGCAGAATAAGAACGTTAGCCGAGCTCTTTGTTTTCCTGTGAAAGTACTGTATGTGTGAGTTCCAGCAGTTCTGGTCCACCTGAGTCTCTGTGTGACAGGATAAACCTGTCTGAATGGACTTTGTGGACTTTGCATTCACGGTAGCCTCCAAAGCTATTTAAGTTAGCTTAGCCTGCTAGCTGGAAACCGGGAGTTAACAACACAGCGCTATTCAGAGTGATAGTTTGACAGAGAGAAAACGGAGTGTGCTTGGAGGAAAAGTTGCTGTTATTGAGTAAACATGTGTAAAGTTCAAATGCTGAGAGCGTTGGTGAAGCAGCGGCTCAATGCGGCTGTTGAAGAGATATTTGTTCTGTTTGAAAGAACGATAGCAGAGTACGAGGAGGAACTGTCTCGTGCGAAAGTAGTGCACGAGCGACACCGGAAACTACTGGACGCTGTGTTTCAGCCTCAGATTCGGCTACACAGAGCAGGTCTGTACACTTCACTTCCCCTTAACATGACATATGAACAAATACCATTACAGATATGTAAACAAAAATAAATAACACTAATACAATATTATTTAATTATTCAGTATTTGTATTACCATTAACATAATTTAATTTATTATTCATCAATAAAGATCGATATAAAAGAGAAGAAAAATACAATAAGATATGGAAAAACACTGTAAGAGAAACAGATACAAATAGAAAAAGAAAAAAAGCCAAATAAAATATGAAAAAGGCTTAAAAAATGTACGAGACGCTTCAGTGACAGGCTCCTTCACCTGAGTTATCTCCAGTAACTGTAGGGGAGGCAGTCTGTTGCTAAGGGCCGTGGGAAGTAGGGGTGCTGAGGGTGCTGCAGCACCCCCTGATGGAGGACAGGGGATCTGCACTTCCACAAGATTAAATACAAATATAATACAAAAAAACGAATTTTCAGTCTTAATGTAACAACATTCATAATTAAGTAAAGATAACCCCCTTTTCACCCCTGTTACATTTTCCATTTGCCCTGTACGATGGGCGCTGTGGGGGATGTTGGCTTATCAGGCGCTCACAGAGTGAGTTCTGTCCTGTCAGAGAGGCTCAGTGAGGTAAAGGACTCTGAGGGTTTAGATAGTTCACTTTAGTCTGAAGTCATCTCAATGGGTCTCAAACGTTTTGATCACAATTTATGTAAACAAATATTTCCAAGGCACACCTTTATAATTATTAGGATAAATAAAAACAGGTTTGAAATCATTCCAATGTATACTATAGGACAGTAAACCAAAAATATCGTTTAAAACTGGAGAGATTAAAAAATATGCATAAATAAATGTTAATAGGTCAAATAAGATATAAATGAACAACAAAAATAAAATACGTTACATTTATTTGTTATTGGCTATGGTAGGTTATTGGAAATGTTCACATACTTATTTGGTTAATAAAATGCAAACCGATCTTTTTCATATGGGTGTTTAGAGTTGTACCCCCTAGATCAGTCTCTAGTAATTGGGCGCTCAAAGTGCACCAGATTGAAGCATTTTACTTTAAAATGTTAAACAAAATCTTCCGGGGGCACCCCCGGACCCCGCTAGAGGATGTGACGTCCACCCCCCAATTAAAACATGTTCATGCAATACTAAATACATTTGAAGCCTTTTTATATAAGCTGTCCACCATGTCAATACGTTTCTCTTTTTGTAGTGTATTGGTCTTTTGTAGAGGTTTTTCATTGCCAGCTAAAATCTTGCCTAGGGCAGCAAATTGGTCAGAACCGGCCCTGGTGTCATCCCCACAGCACCCCCCATTTGAAACATGTATCCACGGCTATCTGAAGCAGCTACAGACTGCAGACAGGGTGTTCTGGAGGTACTTGTACTTCACTTGAGTATTTTTACTTTACGCTACTTAATACTTTTTCTCCACTACATTTATTTTACAGCTTTAGTTACTTTGCATATTTAGATTATTAAAAACGACCTTATGGTTTATAATTATAGATTCAACAACCCAGCAGTATATAAATTAATTAAAATACCTATACCTGCTGCAACATTAAAGTGATAAATACATTTATGCATCAAGAATCAGTAGTTTAATTTTACTTGGTACATTTACTCATACTGTTCTTAAGTACTATTTTGTCCTACTTGCACTTTACATGAGTATTTTCATATTATGCCACTTTTACTCAACTACATTTTGGTGGAAAACAGTCTATTTTTTACATTTATTTAACACTCATAGGTACTAGATACTTTTTACATTTAAAAACACATACATTTTTTATATATGATGCATTACTGTACTTCTTATACACCCCATGTTTAAAAAGAAAATCTAAAGTTTGCTATCCTTATTCACTTTGAAAAACTACAACATTTCATCTCTTGTATTTGTATGTGTAAGTGAATAAAACACAATATTATAATAATCTATGATTACAAAAAATACATTAAAAAGAGCCATTGTGCATAATGACTACTGTTTTTACTTTTGAAACTTGTAGTACATTTTTGCATATAATACAACTGTACTAATACTTAAAGGGGACCTATCATGCAAAATGCACTTTTGTACGTCTTTTATACATGAATATCTGTCCCCGGTGTTCCAGGGAACTCACCAAGTGTCAGAAAACACAACCCTCTCTATTTTCCTCCATACCCAAATCTCTAAAAAAGGGGCTGCAACGGATCTGATAAGAATGGATCCAGATTTGAACACTTTACTGACGTCACAGAAGTGGCGGCTACGGCTATTGGGCCAACTCTCCACCTATCAGGGGAATGTGGGGTTGGGCCACGGCCGGCCATTGCCGCTCGAAAGCGCTGGAGTCGCTGTAGTACATATGCCAGGCCTGTAAGTGGCGCTGTAGTCTGCCACAAAAGCAGCGAAGAAGACTTCCCGCGCATAGTTACCATGGTTACCCTTCTGTTTATTCTCCGCTGTGGCTTTTTTTCTCCCTCCCCGAGGCAAGCGTTTGCTCCCGCTGCTTTAATTCAATGCAATCCCTCCCCGTCAAGGCAAGCACTGTAATTCTCTCCGGTTAGTCCACCAGCAGATGACAAACACCCACCTCTCCGCCTCTTCCAAGGAACTAACAACCAGGTGGAAGAGAGCTCTCCCCTGAGAGGCTCAAATAAACTCAGCTCAGTGAGGTTAAGGCACACCTTGATATGATCATTATAGTTATTAATGAGAAATTAGAGACTAAATGAAAAACAGGTATAAAATACTATATGACAGTAACAAAAAAGTTGTTAAAAATAACAAGAATAGAGTTTAAAAGGGGAGTGATTTGTAAAATATCCAAAAAGAAAAATCTGCTTACAGTTCTGTTTCATATGTGTTGAAAGATGTATCCATAGATCTCTTAATGTTGCTCTCAAAGTGCACCAGATTGATGCTTTTAACTTCAATATTTAAAAAAAAATCTTCCCGGGGGAGCATGCCCCCTAGAGGAGGTTAGGTCCCCCCCCCACTTAAATCATGTTCACATGGATAGGATACTAAATACATTTGCACACATCTTGTGTCCATATCTTTCTGTTTTGGTGGTCATGCCACACCGTGCACGTGCATGCATGCGCGAGTCATGGTAAGATATCTGGATTAAGAGGTTGCTTTTTCTTTGCACAAAGAAAGGCGAAATGAATGGGCTGTGATTTTAGTATTTTTAAGCAGAGGTTGAGTTCAATAATTTTACGGCCCTCGGAGGATGTTGTAAAAATTGAAAGGAGTTCCCCACCCCTGCTGTAAATAATAATAAAAACCCTTGATTTATAATTTAGCATCTCTGTCTCCTATTGACCAGATTATATTATAAAGAATAGCCAGTTAATTGAAGCATTATAGCACAGGCCTTTGTCAGATGGTATATTACGCTGTTTTTTTTCTGCTTCGAATAGTTCTCTCTTTTTTCACCATACCTGTGTTTGCATCACTGTTATTACAATATTAGTTATATCTTCAATACTCTAAATATATCTAACTATCTCTCAATTCTCAATATTTGTTTCACTCGCCGTCTCTCGCTGTCTCTCTTTTTCTCTCACCGAGTCGCCGTCCCTCTTTGTCTCTTGCCATCTGTCTTCGTCTATCTCTGTGTATCTTCGTCTGTCTTCGTCTATCTCCGTGTATCTTCGTCTGTCTTCGTCTATCTCCATGTATCTTCGTCTCGTTTCGTATCACTCCGTTTATCAGATTACCCCACCCCATCCCTAGTAAATACATCCTGTTGAGCGGGATCTACAGCGGCTCGAAAACTGATAAAATACGGCGAAGATATAAAAATATGTAATGTCCGCCACATTCAATTGCTCATACTTTAGAGCCAGCGAAAAAATACATTTTGATATCAACTTTAAATCATTGTATCTACGGTTTTACTGGGCCTATTTACATGAAACAAAGACTGGCAGAGAGTTTCCAGCCAGTATTTTCGACAGAAGCAGCCGGCAAAGTTGGTCCGACTGTTGTTTTTATGCGGTGCCGGCTTGAACAGGTCACATGATCTGATCACGCCGGTGTGACGGTCGACTCCAAAGGGTTAAAGGGGACCTATTATGCAATGTCACTTTTTGATGTCTTTTATACATAAATGTGTCCCCGGTGTGTAAGGAGACTCACAAAGTTTCAGTAAAATACAACCCTCTCTCTTTTCCTCCTTACCCACATCTCTAAAAAAAAAAAAAAAAACGGGGGTGCAAACGAGCAGATCCAGGATATGGCTCCTATGACGTCATTGGTGAAATGTGGCACACGGGACACGTTCCAACCTATCGTCACCGGCACACTTGACACGTCCCAACCTGCAGGATGTCTGCAGGAGGCACTTAGAGTAAAGTTGTTATATATATAATACATATAATGGCACTGTTCTAACGGTAAACACTTAAGAATGAACATGTCAAGCTATGTGCTGTATCAGAAACAATGCGCAGCGTGTTTTGGGAGTAATATGGTCTGTGTTTACATTAGCAAGCATCGCTAACACTCAGAGCTAACGCTGTACTGGAGAGAATATGTGTAACGTAATGTCCTTGTGGTAAACCCTGCGAGAGAGAAACGTTTGAGCTCCATACTGTTTCAGAAATAATGCTTGAAGTGGTTTAGAACATAATATGGCATTTAATCACAGCAGCGTTTAGCTGAGTTTCTGCCGGTAGAAAACTCTCTTAGCAGGGGAAAGCTGCGTGACGCTACAAAGGGGCGTGGCTAGCAGCAGCCGTTCCATTTAAAGCTACGCTCACAGAATCAGCCTTTTTGGAACAGGGCTGGTAAGAGGGGTATGAGGCATGGCTACAATGGGTGATCTGTTTGGTATTTTAAGCAAAAAACTTCACAGACATGTTTTGTATAGGTATGGCCCTACAATATATTTTTCAAATATAGCATAGTAGGTCCACTTTAAATAAAGGATTTGAGTACTTCTGCCCCCTCTGGTTCTGAAATATCTTTGGGTTGAACTTCCTTCAATGGCATCCCAGAACCCTTCATGAAAACCATTGGTTGGTCCACCGAAAACGCATCACTGCTTTATCATTTCAGTTCTTAAAGATCCCAGATCCAATACATATTGTCTTCATTTATTTGGGTCTTTTGTGCCGAGAGGCTACGAAACTTCCTACAACATTTTATCCACAACACAGACAGCCAGTGGAAGAACTACAAGCAGCCTCACACACAGCGCATAATTATATTATTGACTATTGCTTTGCTAGACTACCTAATAAAATAATATCTCTGAGGTACTGACATCGTTTGAATTGTATTCGATCAATTTTTGTTTCGGTTGAACAATGCAGGGGTAAATTACATACGTACACTTATCGGTTAAGTTAAGTTGTAGTCAGTAATGTGTCTGTGTGTGTTTCCTGCAGATGTCCAGCAGCTGTTGGTGGTTAAAGAAAAAGTTCCCCCTGAGCAGGAGTGGAGCTCCTGTGTGGACCAGGAAGACCAAGAGCCCGCCCCAAACATTAAAGAGGAACAGGAGGAACTCTGGAGCAGTCAGGAGGGAGAGCAGCTTCAAGGGCTGAAGGAGGCTGATATAACATTGACTCTTGTCCCTGTGAAAAGTGAAGATGATGAAGAGAAATCTTTAGATCTTCATCGAAGACAAACTGAACATATGGAAACAGCAGCTGATGGAGAAGACTGTGGAGGACCAGAACCAGCCAGCAACTCAGATCCAGATAGACAAGACTGTGGAGGACCAGAACCAGCCAGCAACTCGGATCCAGATAGACATTTACAATCCGATACTGAGGACAGCACTGGCGACTCTTCTGAACTTGACACTGAAGACAGTGCTGATTGGAATGAAAGCAGAAAACCTCAGTCAGGTTCAAACTCTCTGAAAAAGGATAGAGGTTCTGTCAATGACTCAAGAAGTAGTGCTGAAGAGAAACCATTTCTCTGCTCTGAGTGTGGGAAAAGATTTGGCCACAGGACAAATCTGAGGAACCACATGATGACTCATACAGGAGAGAAACCATTCAGTTGCTTAGTTTGTAAGAAATCTTTTACACTGAATTACAGGTTACAACACCACATGAGAATCCACACAGGAGAGAAACCTTACAGCTGCTTAGTTTGTAAGAAAACTTTTAGACTAAATGGTAATTTATACACCCACATGAAAATCCACAAAGCGAATGATCAAGTCTCTGCCAGTGGTTCAAGGTGTAGTGCTGTTGAGCAGCCATTTGCTTGTCTCGTGTGTAAGAAAAGTTTTGGGAGCAAGAAAAGCATGCAGAGACACTTGATAACTCACACAGGAGTAAAAACATTCAGCTGCTCAGTTTGTGACAAACGTTTTTCACAAAAAGGAGATCTGAATATACACGTGAAAACTCACACAGGAGAGAAACCTTTCAGCTGCTCAGTTTGTGACAAAAGCTTTTTGCGAAAGGCACACCTTAAACGACATGCGATGACTCATACTGGAGAAACACCATTTAGCTGCCCAGTCTGCAAGAAATCCTTTACGCGGAGTGAATATATAAAGGAACACATGAATACCCACACGGGAGAAAAACCATTCAGCTGTTCAGTGTGTAGGAAATCTTTTAAGCTGAGCAGTAATCTACTGAAACATGCAAGAATCCACACAGGAAAGAAACCTTTCAGTTGCTCTGTTTGTAAGAAATCTTTTATATTGGGTGATATTTTAAAAAGACACATGAGAACTCACACAGGGGAGAAACCATTCAAATGCTATGTTTGTAATAAAACATTCGCCTGGGCTCATCAGGTAAAAAAACATAAATGTGATGGTCCTCAATCCTCACAGCTTAATCAGATTTAGGTTGCAGTCGAATAGTCAGTTTAGCTTAGGAACCTTCCTAACGGAGTGAACTGACCCGGAAGTACCTCAGTGGCATCCATGATAAGAGCTGTTCGAATTCTCTAGATGATAGGAAAGGAGGTTTGAAACTTCCTTTATGACCTCCTTTAGCTTAGGAACCACTGGACCTTCCTTTACAAAAGGAAAGGAGAAAATGCTGCCCCACAATGCCTTGCGGCCGCAACACTTACCGTAAAACATAATTCGGCTGTTAACGGAAACAACCGATGGTGACCAATAAACTATATCATGAAAGTTACGGTGCTTATTAAGCATTTTACAACTTATACCGTAACTTGCCAAAGTGCTTTGTTTTGAACGTTCAACTCTATAATAATCAAAAGGAGAAATATGATATGAAAATATGAACGTTACTTTTTTACTGAAATGATCAAATAAAGTCAACATTGCACAGTGTTTACTGAGCTGTGTGGAGTTTCTTAAACGTTACACATGTTTGAATGGTGATATACAGAGTGATAGATTAAGGCCTAACAAGTTTATAATAAATACAACTGTATTTCCAACCGTAGTCATGAAGAATATGTTTCTCTGTTGTCCACATTCATAAAGCATAAAACAACACCATCAGAGCGCGGTGCAGAGTCTCTAGATGAGTTTACAGTCGTCCGCCGTTCTTATTATACATCCATGTAGTCCGCTGTTTAGAAAACTAGTTTCCCCACAGCAGACGCACATTTATAACGTCCGCTGGCGCATCATAAACACGTTGTATAGTCTAAGTGCAGTTGGATTCTCAAAGCACCGCAGTCTCTTTTCCTAAGTGCTTTTGAATCCTCCTATCCACTATCCCTTAACCCCGTAACGTTTCACACAGAGGTCAAGGAATAGTGGATCGGGAAAGACGATAGGAGCTGATTTTTTGACAATTTGACTGCAACCTTAAACTGAGCAGAACAGAGAGGAAGAGCCAGTTTCTGAAGACTCTTCAAGGGTTCCCACGCAGACCCGGCGGCAGACATACATCTGTGGACGGGCATTTGATTTACCAGGGCGGGCCGACCCCCAGGCCCCACCCCATTTTAACGTAGCATATGTGCATATATAGTTGCCGACAGATTTAGGCGTTATTTTTGTGCGCGCAATGAAACATTTTGAGCATAGGAAATGTTTCCGCTGCTGCGGCACACACTCTCTCTCCCACAAATGTGCCACATAACCAACCATTTGTAATGCTGTGCCAACTTGAGCGAGCACAGGGTGGAGAGGTTGAGCGAGGGAGAGAGAGAGGGAGAGAGAGCGTGTGCACGGACTGGAGCAGGAGTTTGAGGGCTTGAGAGTCAATTTCTCTTCAAAATATAATTGATATGCTTGCAAAATATATTTTTCTGTGCTCATAAATGTTAAATTGCGCGCTCAATAACATTTCCAATGCTCAAAATGTTTCATTGCGTGCTCAGGATAGAGGCACAAAAATAACGCCACTTCAGCACCATGGATGGACAGCGACGCTACACATCAAACAAGCAGAACCAGCATGCAGCTGACTCATATACTCATATATACACCTATGAGTAATTTAAGACCTTTAATTACACTACAGAAAAAAGCTGTGAGAATGTTGCATAATGTACTACCTAAGAACAAACAATTTATTGAGTCAAGGCTGTTAACATTTAAAGATTTAATAGAATATCAGACGGCTTTAGTTATGCAGCAAAAAACTGAATACTGCCAGAAAATATACAAATATAATATGCAAATGTGTTTTAATTTCAGAGGATGAGCATCAGGAGGAAATTACATGTTAAGCATCAGTTTGCACGTATACTTTAAAGCAGAGGTGTGTCTTTCAAGATTTTCTAAGGTGTATTGACATATATACACAACTACGGTGTAGTTATGCAATGAATGAAAAACTTGGGTCGCAGGTTCCTCAACAGTGCATTACAAGACATCTATCAATATGTGTGTTCCTCCACCATTACATTGTCATATTCTGCACATTACTTATACTATCGACATACATCTTATAAGAGTATAATACATATGTATAATATCAGTTAAAATAAGTGCTTAAACATAGTTAACATTGCAGGAAAGCAATATATTAGACGTTAAGTACTTTGTCAGGCTTAATATTTATCTGTAGATACAAATGTCACTGTGTGTGCTGTGTGCTCTGCATGTGTGACCATCAAAGAGGGTTTCATCCCTCCATATTCATCTTCTATACCCCCAAAGCTTTTTTCTTATTCAAAAGAAGACCTTAACCTAAAGTATTCTTTAATGTTTAAATAAAGCCTTATTATTTTGTCTGTTTTGCACATCCTCCTATTAATATCTAATAATACAATTATAAAATGCAATAATGTGCTTTAACCAGTAGGTGTCCCTTTCTATCAGCTGTGCACCGTTATGGCGTAAATACAGCCTATCTACCAATTGGATCAAATATCAAAGTCAGCCGAATTAGTGTTGATACTGCAAGGAGACGTATTGTGTGAAAAGAAATGTAAGATGTTGTTTAATTGCTTATATATTTAAGATCCACGTCAAGTTTTCAGTTTTGGCGGCAGTTCCTGTTTGTCTAGAAGTCTTGTCATCAGGGTTCTATAAATAGTTAACTACGGCAGATATGCCATATTTAATGCAGCCGAAACGTGTATTACAATGCCGTTATGTGATGACTTTCAAAGAGAAAAGCAAGCACACTCGGAATAATGTATTATTTAATTTTTTTATACAGTCTATGGTTGCTACAGAGGATTGTGGGTAATGTAATGTCTTCGGCCATCCAAAACTCATAGAAAACGACTTGTTTCTCAGAATTGAAGGGGAAAACGTGACAAAAGCATTGTACACACACTAAAACCTATCAATGTCGTTTAATTAACAAGGATAATCTGGTGTTTTTGAGTTGATGAGTAGTGGAGATATCACTGTCAAATCAATCGACAGTAAGGGGAATACTTACTTCCGGGTGTACAATTCTCCGTTATCCAATGGGAATGGACGCTCACATTGCCTTTAACAGCCTCCGACACAAACGAATGCCGTGCTTCCATGAGCGTCAAATCCCGCCGCAGATGGGAATACATTGCAATCAGTTGAAAGCTATTTGCGTCTGTTTATGAAGCTGAAGGAGCCTCGGCGCGTCCCAACTGCACGCCTCGGGACCCTGACCAAGCGTCGCTCCGACGCTTAGGGAGTGAGAGTGTGTTGGTAAAACAGCTCTGTCATCTGGTGGTTTTCTTGTGTTCCCACTCCCACTGTCTCTTCAACAAAATAATCCTCCAAAGTTGTGTTAACAGTTTGCCTTCTCTTGGTGGGACCGGGATGGATAATATCATCCTCTCTCTCCTGTGCGCACTCACTCCACATCTCCGTGAACACCTTTTTGGTGCGCAGGGCCTCAACACACTCTTTGGCAGTGTTGACAAGCTGTACTGCCGTTTGAAGGTCCATTTCCTCTGACTGCATCATCCTGTTAGCTGGCTCAAGCAGGGACAATATCTTGCATATTATCTGGGTGTGGAATTTAAAGCTTGGCTTTAAAATTCTGCTCAGCAAGCCTGCTGCCTCCATCCTCAAGTCAGCTGGAAATGATGCAGAGTTTTCAACATGTCGGAGTAGTTCAACTATATCCTGAAAAGATTTCAGAATAATCTGAACAGCGCTGTTCGAGTAAACGCTTCAGCGTGTTTCCCTGGTAATGTGCAACAACCAGTGGCGTTTTTATATGTACAAAAGTGGTGGGGCACAAACAACTTAGATGTTTATATATAAGCTTCTGCAGTGAGGTTCATGGCTGGTGAGGCACTGGCACTGACTCTTCAGGTTTACAAATATTATATTTGGACCTAAATCAAAATATTCTATTATTTTCAAAAGCTATTTTAGTCTGATGCTTCGATTAATTTTAAACAGACAGTTCAACAAAAAGATACCCAAAAAATGTAATTTTATCATTTAAATATTGGATTGTTCTCTCTTATGGCGCGTTTCCACTACACGGCCTCGCTCGGCCCCGCTCGGTATGGCTGGGCCTCGTTAGGACTGGCTCACTTTATGGCGCATTTCCATTACAGTTTAGGAACTGGGGCAGTATCTATAGTAACGCAGTGTAGGCAGAGCCGTGACGTGATCTTCAGAGGACCCCAGAAAAACAACACAGCCGTTAGCTGTTAGAACTCAGAGCTCACAGCTCCTCATATATGTTCAGAAACTAGACAAAAGTTAAACAAGTACAAACCACAGACTGCCTGTGTCATGGTGAATACAGTCGCTGCTTTATTTATGTCTGTATAGGCCGTTGTTGTGAGTGTGGACGGTCGGAGCATATACTGCGTTAGCTTAGCCAATCTCCATTTAGACAACACGCATTTTAAAAGGTTTTTCCCCTGCCGTCTGTCTGCAGACTTGACAAAGCATTAATTCATGGTTTTTACTAACCGGTATCAGTATGTTGTTACTTCGGCATCATTTTGAAACGTGTATTACAATTAAATCACGGTCAAATATGTCCATCTTGTTGTAGTTGTAGCCCCCTTGCCAGCGACGCTCTCTCTAGTTTAGCATACTCAGCCCGACTCAGCCTCGTTGTCTCTGGCCCTGGACCCACGATTTTATGAGGCCAGAAAAACTGTGAATTAGGACCCGCCGGCCGGTACTAGGCCAAGTGGAAACGCAACCAAAGACGGGCCGCTGACGTCACAGCCCTCTTAAACCGGGCTGCGCGCTGTAGTGGAAACGCGCCATTAGTAAGATCCCATTTTCAATAAAATTCTTACCTTGCCAAGTCTTACCTTGACTTGAAGATGAAGTTCTTTTGCCTATCCCTCTGGACAAAAATCTCTATTACTTTTTTGTAAAAGTCCTCCTTATCTTCTTGTAGTTTCAAAAGTCTAATCATAAGTCTAATCGATAGATTTAAGATCGATAGATTTATGATTCAAACATTATAAAAGTAGGGTAGACATGTGGATATTATCCGGCTGAACAAAACGTGCATTTATCTAACAGGTACGTTTCCCACAGATCTTATTTACAGCTATTTTCTAAAATCCTATGG